TGGCCTCTGGCCTTGAGCTTGGCATACTCGAACCGCAGCTTCCGTTCCAGACGAACGTCAGCCACATCGGCGCTGGCCCGCAGCGTTGGCACACTGCTAAGATGCCGCTTGCGGTACACCCAACGGATGAACTCATTGTCCTCCTCCTCGGGCAGTTCGCCAGCGAACAACAAGATTTGCACGCCCTTTATCGGTCGAACCGAAAGACCACGAGAAAGACTTTCAAGGTGTGCAAGGTACTGACCTTGCGTGGTATAGGCTGGTTCGAGATACCTCTCATTTAGAGCCTTGCGAAAGGCGATATCTTCTGGCGACGTAGCCTCGAGGCCAATGGCCCATGTTGCAAGGCTACGGCCTTCCGTTTGACGGAGGCGTTGCTCCGCGTCTGGTGTTGAGAACACGTAACCACTCCGGTTTCGAATAACCGCCTGGGTATGAGTGCGACGTAGAGCACGCTCCTCACGCTGACGGATCAGCTGCTGTTGCTCGTCGAGCGGGTTCGTGATGATGTTCTCATCTGCATCTGTTGTATGATGCTGCGCCACTGGCGCGGTGATATTACCACGTTCAACGAACGGATTCGATGCTGTAAGAGGACGAGCTTCAGGTACAGCGGAGTGGGATGATATCCCGTCATCTCCATAGACACTGGTATCACTACCATAGTCCACATCCTCATCGAAGTCGAGGTAAGAGGAAAGAGTCCGAGACTCATTGGGTGGCAAAGCCATGGTGTTTCGTGTTTAGCAACCGCGAGGTTAAGCACACACACACACACCGACCTCTTCGAGGAAAGAAGCCGATTGACGTTTGGTGGTAACGTAAGTCTGGTGGGGGAGGGTGTAACGGGGTTACACGTCGGCTGGTAGTCGACGATAGGTGTGGTGCACACAAGAGAGGGGGGTTACCCTATAAAGTAATTTTAGAACACAGTGAGTGTATCAATTGTTGAAGACCGATGTCTGTCATCAATTGATTGCGAGATCTTTTAAGAGGTTATTTAGGGCAGGTTAAATACGTTGTTCTAAGGTGTTCTTTTAGGTTAATCAAAGAAATAAAAATTCAGTTCCCCTTTTGATCGACATAAGACACGTGCCTTGCAAGGCGTCTTGATCGGAAGAGCTAGCAACGCCTGTAAAGGTAGCTACTCTTGAGCACTCTTTGCTGTGATTCTCTTGAATCGTTTGGTTCCCCTGGAACAGGGACCGTAAGCTATCTGAGCTTGTTGACTCTCTGAGTCGGGTTCGTAGAACCAAAGTTGCTCGTAAGAGCGTTAAGTCTTCCTCTGACTTAAGGAGCTGTGTAGCTCCGCTGCAACATACCTGATCACTGATCACGATCTTGAACACTAATCATGATCTCGATCGCCTCCTTGATCGCAATGCCTTGCTGATCGCGGTTTCCTTTTTGATCGACCGATCGCCAACGTTACCTTCCGCCTCATACCTTGACCCAAGATGGCAGGTCCCAACCTGCCCGATCTGATATCCATTTTAGTCTGACTGTCCAATGAACGCGATCTGACCAGATGTGGGACCGGGCAGCCAGCCGTCAACTGGCTCGGACATAACGGGAATGCGATCAGTTCCTCTACAGCAAATTCCCATAGTCGCTTTACCGCACGAGCAACATAGTTGGCCACGTTGCTGCAAGCTGATTGCTTTATCGAATGTAGATCGTCACGTAGACGCTGTTATAGATCGACTGGAACAAATTCGCGGTACAGTTCGGTAAAGAAAATGTCGATCGAGGTGATGTCAGCTCATTTGGTAGAGTACCATTGTGCGGCAGGTCCGCGTAAACCACTGGCAAGGATGGCGATGACTTGTCCCGGTATAGTTTCGTCACGCCAACTTATTCTTCGTGCCGTAAATACTGCTTTATATTATCGTAGAATAGCCTGGCCGATTCTTCCAGACGACCAGTGTATACGGGTATTTTCATTCCGTCTAATCAAATGCTTGAGTCGATGCGAGGACGCATAAGGTGGTCTATCATCTGCTGTTGATTTTTCAGTATTTGAACCACACTGTCCATAATTTGGGTTGAGACCGGGTCGTACATGGTGACGAGGATACAAACTCACCAAAATTCTAAACTAGAGCTTAAACACTTGACTCTAAATTAGTTGAAGACGTCTTGTGCTTCTTTTTTAAGTCCCGTAGATCGTAACGAAGGTCTCGACACAGGGTACGCTCGGCTTCCGTAAGTAGAATGTCGATTTCACGGAGAGGATTGGCGAGACGATCAACTTCTTCGGCAATTAGCTCTTTTCCTTGTTCAGATCGCAGTGCAACGCTTTAGCGACACGTAGACTCTTCTTGATCGACTTGTGCAGATTCTGGGTGCAACTTGCAGCCTCAGTTCCAGCGCTGAAGAGGAAGGCCTTGGAACAGTCGATATGGATCTGCGGTCGTGATTCCTCTTTCCCATACACGTTGGCTGATAGAGCCGCACTTCTGTTCACCTGACGGCTACTGACGAAAAAGCCGGAGAAGTTTAAGTGGACTCACGCAACGAGGTTTTCAGGAACCTAACACTGTCATACCGACTAAAAAAAACAAGACGGCCACACCAGAACTCACACACGCTCAGTGACTCTATCTGCTAAAGCAGGATCTGAGGCTTACAGTGGATATCGAAGCGATACACCGAAAAGTTAATTAGCACAGTGACAGCGAAAGGCTAACATAGGAGGCAATACCCGTAGCAAACGAAGAGTCATACACCAAACGGAAGACGGTGACAACGTTGGTGGTGAAGAAGATGTAGGTGACGACGGGGCGAAGATGGGTTGACCAACAAGGGCTACTACTTGTAAAGGTGAATGTGTATTTCGAAGTGTTTAGCTATACTGTCTACACTATGGCTGATTGGGATAAGCCCCTGTCCACCTAAAAGCCCCAGTATTGTCTCGCTCCATATCTTTTCTACTAACTGATTTTTTCTGATTTATTTTGGTGGTTACGGTGACGTATGCCCCTTCCTTACTGATCACCTGATTTCTGCAGAATGACGTTGTCCTCAGATTCTTGTATCTTGATCAATGTGGACAACTGAATGAATGTAGATTCTTTCTGGATCTACGGATAGTCCAACCTGTTTTGCGTACTTATGGTCCTTACATGAGGCCACAAATGATGACCAGAGCTCTTCACATGCGCTGCTGATGTTGAGAGCACATTGTAGCACTTTACGAAGGTGCGCCGATCAAGTAGCGAGCAAATATGAGGATACATTCCATGACGCTAACAATAATTGGAGTTGTTATTCGACTTACGTGTACCACGTGAACAATAATTGTAGTTGTAATTCGACTCATACCTATCAGAAGTTTGATAATTGTAATCGCGTTTGGGGAATGGGGGAGACCGCAATTGAGCAACTCAAGTCGACCACATACCGTTTCCGTGACAGTGAAGTTAGATACGTCGATTGTCGCAGAAACGCCCTTCTTTTCCATGCATCGTCCATAATTCTTCCACGAACAACTAACTACAACAATGCAACATGAACAAATGTTGACGCACGCGTTCCAAGATACGTAGTCATCTAAGCCGTGTCTGTGCACATGCAGCTTCACGAGATACTCTGTATGTAGAAAAGGACAGACCGACGTGTATACCTCGCGCGAACAGCTCAGCGAGAAGCGGCTGTCTTACACGCCCCGCAATGTGTGTGCGATCTCCTTCCACCAATCGCTTCTGTTTACCTTTGAGCCCACATTGTTATGCCATTCGCTGCAGTGACCTCTTGGTGCTGTTTATGTTGACCGTTTCGAGCTGGGGGGGTCATGCTTTTCGTGCCTTTATCGAGCGCTCTTGCCGATCTGGACGTCGTTTGCTTGACCTGATCACCACATACGAATACCACAAAGTGACGGGTAGTATGTTTGCAGAGAACAAGGCATTCAACTAGTTAGCAGCTTGTGCATCTGCTACATCTCTAGCGCTGTCGTTGTCGTCGCCGACATGGACTAATGTAGAGTGGGCGATACAAAGCACACGAACGAATGCGTGCAGAACGAAGAAACAGCTTTTCTTGTGTCAACAACAACAGCACATACATCAGAAAATGATGTGGCGTCGTGTCGATGACTTGAGCAAATACGCCGTTGATGATGCAGCCGCCGTCCGGACGGGCGCTCTCGATGCGATTTTGCTCATATCGCTTGCAGGTTCTTTCCACCGCACAACGAGTTACGATCTCGCTTGCGCGCCATGTCGCATGGGACGACATGGGTAGACTTCGTGTACGCTAGTGAACTTTGCATTGACTGGGAATGGGGGTTCTGACTGTCAGTACGCTGTTATACCGCCTTCGTATTGACGCACTTGCAACAGACGAGGGATGCTGTAAGGCCACTACCGAAGCTGAAGCAGACGAGTACTCATCGTGAACCGATGGAATGACCGCATAGTGTGGTTACGTAAGGACACTCTCGACATTATGGAGGATTGGATCGAGGGGAGATGCATCGGCGTCGATATGCACCGAGGCAATTGTTGTCGATGTTCTTCGATAGGACAGGATAGGACAGTGAAATGCATCGTCGAGGTATTGCGAATAGGCTACTGAAAGCGACTGGTCCCGTCGCATTATCCAGCATTGAGTCAGGCTGGATGGAGCACAAGTGTTATCGGCTCTTTACACAACTCGACAAATTACCGTTTTGATCTCCTACGGGACATGAGCGTCAGGACAATGCGCCTCACATGAGCAGAATATCACCCCTCACGACCGCAAACGCTTGCATAGACGTTTCTATGTGGCAGCATTAGATGCGACGTAACTTGCAAGCACGTATTGTGTACTGTCAAACAACGTGCGAACCTGCTCGGAAAGCACAAACAACATGCGGCCGGCCAGGCATTTCAGCTTAGCTTGTCGCCTCTCTCTTTGTACCATAAACGAGCCACGCGACGAGAGAAACAGTATACGCGTCAAACACAATCGAAGAACTGGGTTTGACATCACCCGTCTACCAACTACCAACCACTATGATGCTTAAAAAACTGGTCGAGACCGCTCGAGACGTGTGGCGTATGCGCCGCATGCCCTCTCAAGTGCGCGCGAAAGACACGCGTCTGGCCTTTTCCGACATTATCGTACGCAATCGTAAATAAACGCTATATGTCGTTGAGAACCTATACAGGACGCAGGACGACCTTCCATCGATCCTACAAACTAAACACCTTTTGTCATTCTTATCCTGTATCAGGGCGACGAAAGTCAAACAGGACAGTGGCTCCGAACGGGTCCGATCCTGGAACTAATGGATGGCTTAGCTGCCACGATCTCATCTCGAGTATCGTTGGGTCCCATTGCTACGATCTCATTTGACCGCGTGGACCTCGTCAAACCCGTCTTCCACGGCGATTTGGTCCGTCTCGAAGGCGAAGTTGTTAGTCTCGGACGTTCGAGTATTGCAGTGCAAGTGAGTGGCTATCGTCACGATATCGCAAGCAGTTCGTTCCAACACACTCATGGGGCGCTGATCACAATGGTCGCAATCAATCGGTTCGGTCGGCCGCGAAGAAAATTGCCGCAGCTTTTTGACGCCGAGCAAGCCCATGTTTGCGACCAAATGAAGCAAATTACCAGTCAGCGCAAGGAACTGGCCAGGCGCTGGCGAAGCGAACAAGAGGCAGTGGACACGATCGAGTGTATCCTCAACAAGGACGTGCTGCCGGGCGAGACCAAAGAGACATACGTTTCGATCAGCGAGACGGAGATTGAAGTCCGCAACTGGTTCTTGCCACGCAATCTGAACATCAACGAAACAGTCTTCGGTGGCGATCTGCTTACGTGGATGGTATGGCTGAAGCTATGTAGATCTGGCTTGCAGTTGGTGTTGATAGGATGGTGATGGTGCAACGATCAATGACAAAGTTGTGTGTGCGCTGTTATTCTTTTGCAGGATCGAACGGCTTTGTATTGTGCCCAAAACTTTACAAAGTCGGGGAAAATGGTCACAATTGCCATGAACCGCATAGTGTTCAAGCTTCCCATCTCGATTGCAGATGTCGTCACGGCGCGCGCTCGAGTTGTCAATGTCCGGTGCGGTAGCAGTTCTGAGTACATGATCGTGCGCTGCTGTTGTCGTGTACTTTTGAGGTGCTGACTGTGTTGCGTTGTTTTGTACGTGTCGTTTTGTCGCCCTGTAGTCGCTATCGGCTTGAAGTCGAAGTCGAAGTGTTTATCAACTCCGTTGTCGACAGTGGCGAGCGCAAGTCTCACAGCGGGTACACACGTGTGTTGATCCATTGTGTTGGGTTGTGAGCACATGTGCAGATTTGGTTCATGATCGCATCGTTGTGTGTCGTTGGCCCATTTTTGGTGTACGTAGCTACTTTACAGTGCTGAACTTGGATGAAAAAGACGCGCTGAGACCGATCAACAAGGGTTTGAAGACCGATCAAGAGAATCAGCACGAGATGCGAGTGCTGCTGAAGGCCCAGAAGCGTCTAGAGTTTGCCGAAGAAGATAATCATTTGCACTCTTTGAAGCGATTGGAGATCCGTCTATGATTCAACAGTGAGTAGCAGGTGCCTTTTGTTTTGGATGTGCTGGAGAGACTTACATTCTCTGCCGACAGACTTGCAAACGCCATTGTTGCTGCTCGACTTTTTCTACCTTTGCCGTCAGTTGCCAAGCCAAAGTCAAGATCCGAGTCAAGCGACTCTCCATAGCTGATTCCACAAGCACACATGACGATCGATTTCGTACATTGCATCGGGTGCTTGCAGACTGCAATGGTGTCCGACGTCCCCAAATTCCAAAGCGAGTGTCGCTTGAGCATCATCCTCGTGTTCATGCGTCGCATCGTTGAGCACCAGCTGACGTGTTTGTCGCTCTGGACGAAGGCCGACATATAATAGCAGCAATTGAGCAGCAACAACTTCGTTTTGGCCCGAAGAACTTACTGCAGCGATACATTAGCTACCGAGTCTGTAGAAGCTATTCGTCTACATCAGTGTACATCTCTCGAGTCGATACCCATCGTGCTTCCTCCCAAACTGCTTGAGTGCTTATCAGTTGACTTCCCATGCGAGCGGTTCAATCAGTGCACGTGTCAACTGTTGTCGGGCATCCCCCATTTGTTTTTCAGTAGCAACAGCGTTTCGATCAGACTGCGCGCACAATGCACATCGGGAAGTGCATTGCTCTCCGCTACCTCATTGTACCATGCGACATCCTCAAGGGAGGAATAACAAAGTAGCTCGTTGTTGTGAGGTAGCGTCATATAGGCCAAGACCCTCGAACGAGCTCGAGATGGAGCCGTCGCAATGAATGTTCCACCGCAGAGTCGAATCAAAGTCGTTCGTGGCTCACGAGGACTCGTTTTTGATTTGAGATACGCCATTCAGGTTGCAATGACTATGCCGCCCCACGATGACTGACAGCAGACGAGAAGGCATTCCAGGCACCCGCTCTTTGGTCCCTCGAGTTTCTGCTGGGTCCTCAACCGTACCTCTAGCCGCATAGAACATCATAGCTCGAGCGCCTTTGTCACAGGCGGCAAAGCTAATGCGACTAACCAATTCCAGCTACATCCTTATCATCACTCGAGTCCCAATCCGTGCGCTACTCGCTATCTGCGTCCATCCATACAAAACGAGTACGCAGTATCGACGATGGAAGCGGATGCAGTAAGTGTAGGGAGAGCAATGCGATCTCTTCGAGAGGTCTGCGAGCTGCAGCGCTTCATGCAAAGCGATGCTTCAGCCCGTCGAAACCCGAGCGGTGGTACCTCTCAAAGGGGTCAGACGATCGTGGACCTGCAACGTTTTCGCTCTCCAAAGCTCAAGCACAACGTCTCAGGCGGCAGAGCTTCGACGTGCAGCTGACCACTGGTCAGAGAACGATCTTGCGCACGAGATGTCGGCAAGTCACTTTCCGTCGTGAGATCGTCAGAAGTCCAGACAACGTCCAGAAGTGACAACGTTTGTGGACAGCTCACTCGTAGCGACGCGTGAGTGCTCTGTTGCGCGCGACTGTTCGCTGGCGTTGCAGGAAGACACCCCCCATCGCTCGCGTTGCGACGGTATAGAGGTCGGTGACCATCTCCCCCCTCCCCTGTTTGTGGACTGCTCCCAAGCGCTTTGTTCGTGCCAGCACTGCTCCGACTGCGGTTCATGAGCTGTGCAACCCGTTGCTCACTGATAGAAGAGATGATGGCGAGCCAAACCAGTAGCGAGCGTCTAGCGCAGACACTTTGTCGTGGCGTCAAGCAAAGTCAATCGTAGTGGAGCTACAACTGCAGAGCTACCGGTCAAAACCCTTTCGACGAGCTGAGCTGCTTCCGACCCTCGAATCAGTTCGATCCAAGACAAGAAGGATGACCGCAGCTGTTGCTTCGGGCCCTCTCGGTGTATCCGTGCGAGGGATTGACACACGCACGGGGCAGCGCGATGCTTCACGTGTCGACAGACGTGGCCCACGCACATACGAACGTGGGACGAATCCATTTTCCCGGCGACAAACCGTTTTCGGGCCTCTTCAATGAATCGGCGCTCATGTCCATCACGCTGAACTTCTTTTTTGCCGGACGCCTGAAGTGATGATGCTCGCGACGACGCGGCGACTGAGGTCGTGTAGACGCCGTAGTATACACACACCCGCGTTCTCGATGCGGAGACCAGAGCCATAACGTACACTATACAGCGCGCGTTTTTCCTCATTGTCTCATGATTCTTCACACGTGAGAGGTTTCGTGCTCAGTCATGGCTTCCGAGCGTCGGGCAGCTCTCCCTGGACGTGACATACCGATCATCAATCAATCAATCAATCACTGGGGTGGGGGGGCAAGGGGGGAGATGATGGTCCCGTCTCGAGAAACTCGGGCGTTCCACTTTGGTCACGACGATCGGGAAAGCAGTGGACAGTCGTGTTGGGAATAGACGTGTCGGTGAGCCCGCCCGACGACTGGCCTCAAGCAAACAATGCGATGGTCTGCTGCCCTGCGAGCGCAGGCCGTGATGACTTGCCCTTCATCATCTTCATCTTCATCTTCTTCTTATTCTGCTGCTTGCCGTGCTGAAGTGCTGACAGTGTCGTCACTGGTGAGCAGATGGCAGGAAAAACGTTCTCGTACCGTTCGAGCCATCATCGCTCGCGGAAGGATGTGGAAAGATGTGGGTAGAGGCGGACGAAGCACGAGCGACCGACGGGGACCGACAACCGAGCGGCCCACTTACGCACTTACCCAATGGATCGATCAGCGGACGAAACGTTGCACGGAGCTCGTTTTGTGCTGCGGTTCTTCAAGATTTGCGCAGACGGCGAGTGACTTGACGACAACTGCAGCAGTAGCAGTCGCAGCGACAGCCGACTGACCACATCAAGTCCGTCGGTAGGCGGTCGCTCCATTTGTTGGAGCGATACTACATGAGCCCGTGGGGCGGTCGGTGCGTCTCGTCAATCCATATGCCAGTGCTGTAAGCACCATGAAAGAAAACAGAGATAGAGAGCGAGTGATCAGGAGATTGCGAGAGGAAAAGAGCTGCGGCGGCGGCTGCTGTGCTGTGAGTGTGTGTGTGTGCGTAGAAGCCGCGCGCCGGTCGTTCGTCCATCGCAGTGACCAGTTCAGCGACCGCCCAGTCGCACACGCTCAGTGAGTGCTTCAACATCTGCCGCATAGACATTGGCATCAGCTGCATCCGAGTTGCGCCAAGTGGGGTGGGCCGCCCACTACGACCATCTCCGCCTGCTATCTGGTCCCCTGAGCGAGTCCTCTGCGCTTCCCCGTTTGTGCTTCTTCCCCTAAGAGCCTCACGCGCGGACACAGCCGTCGCACCCCAATGTCTCTTTCTTTCTCTCTCTCTTTCTCTCGCCCCTCTTCTTCTTCTTCTTCTCCTTCTCCTCCTTCTTCTCCTTCCGCTCCCACTCCCGCTCTTCGACAAAAATTCCACCGCGTGTTGCGGTCGTTGCATAGCCAGCGACGGCCTCAAATCGCTCGCGAGCGTCCCACCGAGCGAATCCACGCGCGAGTTGAGATGAACGGGAAGGAACCAGACCGCTGCAGTCGACGTTTGCACGACGGGAGCCACCAGCCGTCGTGCACTATCCACCGCGGCGAACGCTGACGAGCGCGACGTTAGTACCATGTCGGCAGCAGAGGAAGGCGGTCGATTTGCTCGGTCTTTGCCACTTGGCACAGAGCACAGCTGACCGTCCGGTTGTCCATGCGAAAAGCTCGTGGACAGACGGACGACCTCAACGACACCAACGACAATAGCAGCGACAATAGCAGCGACAATAGCAGCAGCCAATATCGCCGGCCGGACAGACAACCAGGTGGGCCGAACCTGCCGGTCGGTTCCAAACCTACACGTCACAACGGAAAAGAGCGCGTCGAGCGACTTTGCATGTCCGTTCTCGACAGTCCCTTGTCCCCAGAAGTCTCTCTCCTCCCCACTCCTCCGTCAGTCCACCACCACGCAGAAGTAGCCGACACCCAACCAGCCAACTCATCCAACTCATCCAACTCATCCAACCCATCCAACCCATCCGACTAGGCATCTTACCAACGAGGAAACCGAGAAGGCAACCAATTTGGCCGTCCACGAGACATCTTACCAACAAGGAAACCAAATAGGCGCATCCCGCTAAACCAAATAGGCATCCCACCAATTGGTCAACCGAGTAGGCAGCTAACCAGGTAGTGCGTGCGTCCAGGTCGAGTCAATCAACGCGGTTGTCTTCATCCGTTCGAAAGCAATGCTGCCCGCGGACAGCAGTCGACTGCCACATCCGTCGCACCCGCCACCACCGCCGTCCACTGCCCACCACGCGATGATCCGGCCAGACGGTCCGCGTCACGGCGGCCACGACCCGAGTCGCGGCCCGAGCTCCCCCCACGCGGCCTACGGGAACTTGGACTCGGTCCGCCGTCCAGGTCCCCCTCCTGCGCCAATGCACGCGGCGTTTCCCCATTCGGACGACAACGGCGTCGTGCCGGTCAAGCCGAAGATTGCGCTCTTTGACGCCAACTCGGAGGTCTCGGCGTCCGACGGCTTCCGCCAGCGCGCGGCGTTGCAGACGTGTTCCATCAGTTGGCAGCACATTTCGTACTTCATTCAGTCCACCGACCAAACGCGGGGAGGGGGTCACGGAGGCGGTCCGGCCGCCGGTCGCACCTCCTTCTGCTCGACGTACGGGTCGTCGAAACGCGCGTCGGAGACCTCGTCGCTCGAAGCGCAGTTCGAGCGGCAGCAGCCCCGCAAGATCCTCAACAACGTCTGGGGCCGGTCGGGCCCGGGCGAGTTGACGGCGATCCTCGGGCCTTCGGGCGCCGGGAAGACCACGTTGCTCGACATGTTGGCCGACCGCGTGCCGTCGGGCGGCTCGGGCGTGCACTTGGAAGGCCTCGTGGAAGTGAACGGCCAGCCGCGCGACCTGCGGACGTTCCACTCGATCATGAACTACGTGTCGGAGGACATGGCGTTCCTCGGGGCGTTCACAGTGCTCGAGACGCTGCAGATCGGTGCCGGACTGAGCTTACCGGGGCACATGCCGCCCGTCCAGCGGGAAGCGCGTATCCACGACGTGATTGAGGCCATGGGGCTGCGCTCGTGCGCGAACGCGCGGGTGGGCGACGTCTTCCACAAGGGCATCTCGTCGGGCCAGCGGAAGCGATTGGGCATTGCGCTCGAGCTGCTGTCGGACCCAGCGCTGTTGTTGCTGGACGAGCCCACGTCGGGTTTGGACTCGTCGTCGGCGCGCGGCGTGATGCAGTACATTGAACGGCTGTGTCAAGAAGGCGGGAAGAACGTCGTGTGCACGATCCACCAGCCGTCGTCGTCCATCTACGGCATGTTGACGAACCTCATTATCCTCAGCGACGGCGAACTCGTGTACAGCGGCCCGACGAACGCTGCGATCGCGCACTTCTTCGCCATGGGCTACGTCTGCCCCATGTACACGAACCCGGCCGAGTACTTTGTGCACCTCGTGAACACCAACTTCCACGACGGGTTGAAGCTCGAGCCGTTCATTCGGGCGCTCAAAGAGAGCGCTGAGCCCCAGCGGCTGCGGGCCGACGTCGTTCGGGACCGCGCGTGCCGCGACCACCTCACGAATCCCGAGCTCTTGAAGGCCATGCGGCCGTGGCCCATGGACCAGTTTGTTGTGCTGCTGAAGCGCAACTTGACCAACAACTGGCGCCACCCGGGCGTGTTCTGGCTGCGCGTGCTCATGTACGTGCTGCTGTCGCTCATGGTGGGCACCATGTACCTGAGCTCGAACAGCGGCATCAAAGACGCGTCGATCGTGCCGCTGCTCTTCTACGTGCAGGCGTTCCTCGTCTTCATGTCCGTGGCGGCGCTCCCAGCGCTTTTGGAACATCGCGCCGTCATGGAGCGCGAGATGCGCGCGTACGCGCTGTCGCTCACGGGGTACACCATGTCGAACCTGCTGGCGTCGCTCCCGGGCATCTTCCTCATCTCTGTGCTCGCGTCGGTGATTGTCGTGTTTTTGGCGCAAGTGCACTCGTTCGGCACGTTTTTGCTCAACCTGACGCTGTCGCTCATTGCGGCCGAGTCGCTGATGCACTTGTTGGGCGCTGCTGTGCCGCACTATATCATGGGCATAGCTTTGGGCGCCGGGCTCTTTGGCATGTTCATGCTCTGCGAAGGCTTTATGGTGCCGTTCGACGACATGCCCGTGTACTGGAAGTGGGGCTACTACATTGCGTTCCACACGTACTCGTTCGAGGCGTTCATGTACGAGCACTTTTCGACCCTCGATACGCCCGAAGCGTGGGAGCTGCTCAAGCTCTACGGCATGGACAAAGTGATCGTGTGGCGGGACATGGTGATCCTGGCGGGGTACTCGGTCGTCCTGCAGGTCCTCGTCATTGGGGCACTGAGTCTCCGGTTCAATCGACACCGGCGCCGTTAGGTTCGCGTGTGAGTCGTTATTTACGCCTGTATAAACATTGAGATGCATACACGCAATAGCTGCTGTGTCGGTCCTACCGCGTTTGTGTGTGTGTGTGTGTAATTGTGTGCGTTTGTATCCGTCCTGCTTTTGATTGCCTCGGGTACATTGGTCAGGATAGGACGCTCGACGTGGTCTACAGTTAGAATCGAGGAACGTGGCTGTATGCGTCTGTTGGATACACAATCAGGTTAGAAACAGAGAGGACTGAGCGCTCAGTGAATACCGCGTACCGACAGAACAGTTTAGTATCCGTGGAAATACCCCAAACGATATCGTAACGTCGTATGCAATCGAGAGACGACTACGTCGATGGAAGAGAGAAAACGGTCTCGTCACGCAACAGCGACTTTCAGTCCTTCACGGTGCTGCAGCCAGAAGCTCCAAACACTTATCAAACTGACGCAACGACAGCTGGACATCAATCTCAGGCGCCGCACACGAGGCACTCGTCTTCGTCGTCGCCTGCTCGCGCCACGATCTCAACGACTGGCGTAGCGGTAGCAGCAATCTCCTCCTCCTTGGCGCGCTGCAGATCGAGGCCCTGTTTGTCCACAGTAAACTGGATGGCGTCCGCTTTCGGGCGTCCACGCATGTAGTACATGCCGGTCTTGAGCCCCTTCTTCCAGGCGTAAAAATGCATGGACGTCAGCTTGCTGATCGTCGGGTCAGCAATGTGAATGTTCAGTGACTGGCTCTGGCAAATGTACGCGCCCCGATCGGCCGAGAGATCCAAGACCGACTTCTGCTTGATCTCCCACACTGTCTTGTACTTCTCCTTGACGTCGTCCGGGATGGCCTTGACCTTTTGCACCGAGCCACCGTCGTTCAATATCTGGTTTCGGACTTCGGGCGTCCAGATGCCCAATTCAATCAGCTCTTTCATCAAATACTTGTTCACAATCGTAAACTCGCCGGCCAGCACGCGGCGGTTGTACATGTTTGACGTGTACGGCTCAATCGACTCGTTGTTGCCGAGAATCTGCGCCGTCGATGCTGTGGGCATTGGTGCCACGAGCAACGAATTGCGAATGCCGTACTTGATCACGTTCTCCTTCAACTCCGCCCAGTCCCACAGACCTGACGACGGCGTGACGCCCCACATGTCAAACTGGAAAATACCTTTGCTCGCGGGCGAGCCCTGGAACGTCTCGTACGGCCCCAGTTCCTTGGCAATCTCCATCGACGTCTTCATCGACGCGTAGTAGATCGTCTCAAAGATGTTCTTGTTGAGCTCACGCGCTTGCGCACTCTCGAACGCGTAGTTCATCAGGATAAAAGCATCCGCCAGACCCTGGACACCAATGCCCACTGGTCGGTGGCGCATGTTGGACGTGCGCGCTTCAGCCACCGGGTAGTAGTTGACGTCAATGACCTTATTGAGGTTCCGCGTCACGACGCTGGTCACGTCGCACAGCTTCTGGTAGTTAAACACACCGTCTTCGACAAACTTGGGCAGCGCCACGGACGCCAAGTTGCACACGGCCACTTCGTCCGGCGACGTGAACTCCATCACTTCGCAACACAAGTTGCTCGACCGAATCGTGCCGAGGTTCTGCTGGTTCGACTTGCGGTTCGCTGCGTCCTTGTACAGCATAAACGGCACGCCCGTCTCAATCTGCGCGTCGAGGATGGCAAACCAGAGCTGCTGGGCATTGATCGTCTTGCGCGCGCGGCCTTCTCGTTCGTACTGTTCATACAGCGTGTCAAACGCGTCGCCCCAGACTTCGTAGAGCTTTGGCGCTTCGTTGGGGCAAAACAGACTCCACGGGCCATTGGCTTCGACGCGTTTCATAAACAGGTCGGGCACCCACAGCGCAAAGAACAGATCGCGCGCGCGATGGAGTTCATTGCCGTGATTCTTCCGCAGCTCGAGGAACTCAAACACGTCGGCGTGCCACGGCTCCAAGTAGATGGCGAACGAGCCCTTGCGCTTGCCGCCGCCCTGGTCCACGTACCGCGCCGTGTCGTTGAACACGCGCAGCATGGGGATAATGCCGTTCGACGAGCCGTTCGTGCCCCGAATGTAGCTGTTCGTGGCGCGGATGTTGTGCATACTGATGCCAATGCCGCCGGCCCACTTGGAGATGCACGCGCACTGCTTCAGCGTGTCGTAGATGCCCTCGATCGAGTCGTCCTGCATGGCCAAGAGAAAGCACGACGACAGTTGCGGCCGCGGCGTCCCGGCGTTGAACAGCGTGGGCGTTGCATGCGTGAAGAACTTTTGCGACATGAGCTCGTAGGTCGCGAGCGCCGCGGGAATGTCCTGTTTATGGATGCCAAGGGCGACCCGCATAATCATCTGTTGCGGCCGCTCGACGACGGTCCCGTGGACCCGGAACAAATAACCTCGTTCGAGGGTTTTGAACCCAAAATAGTCGTACTCAAAGTCCCGATCGTGGATGAGCGCCGAATTCAAGAGGTCCTTATGTTGCATGACCACGGCGTACACGTCGTCGGCAATGAGCGGTGCCGCAGCGCCCGTCTTTTCGTGCACGTTCTTGTGAAACACTTCAATGTTGTCGCTAAAGACTTTGTTGGTGTTTTTGTGCAGGTTGGACACGGCAATGCGGGCCGCGAGCTTGGAAAAGTCGGGATGCTGGGTGCTCTGGTAAGCGGCTGTCTCGGCCGCGAGTTCGTCCAATTCGGACGTGGTCACGCCGGGGTACACGCCGGCAACGACCTTTTGCGAGATCTTGACGGCGTCGACGTAGTCGGGGTTGAGGCCGTAGCACAGCTTGGTGATGCGGGCCGTGATCTTGTCGAACTTGACGTCTTCGCGACGGCCGTCGCGCTTGAGGACGTACATGGGTGCGCGCGCTTGAGTTGCACGATGGAGAACCCAAACTACTGGAACGCTCGAGGCGCGCGTGGTTGAGCGAGACGACTGGAGGGGTGCCGCACGCGCGACGATTGGATGAAAAGAAAGACGGTGGTGCGGATTGGTTGGCGTGGCGGGATACACAGCGCACTGATTGGCTGAAACGCGCTACAGGTCGCTGCGGATTCCATGTTTTCTTCGCCGCGGCGGTGTGGACCTCGAGTGTACCCATCTGCATTCGGCTTTGTTGATGACGCCATTATTCCGTGTCGTGCGAGCGCTCGAGTACCCCTCGGAGCGAAAAAGTACGCGACGGTGGGGACAACATATGTATAGCGATATATGTGTATAGTTATGGCGAGTACATTCGGTATGGTGGACCCTGTGATGGCGTGAGCACTGTCCTCGTCCTCCTTCTCCTCCTACAGGTCGACCGTCTCGAGCCCACGCTTTGCTCCATACAACAATTGTCCACGAAGACCGAGTTCTGCCACCTAATTCATCTCATGCCGAAGCTCTTGGACTTGCACGTCGTTGCCGGTATCTACGCGGTAGGGCTCTACGCTTTCCATCGAGAAGGAGAGCAAACACGCGACGTTGGGAACGAGGAGGACGACAGAAGCGGCAGGTTTGCAGTGAAGGGAGAAGGTCTCATCCTGCTCCTCTGCACACTCGTTGCTGGCGACCAAACGATGCGCTGAACGTCACGTCGCTGGCATCGACGAAAGTCGCCATCGATTCTATCGCTTAGTAACGTACATTCTACAATCGAAGAACTGCTGACGGGTGTAGCCATGTTCGATCTTGTTGTGGACCTCTTCGATCTTGCAGATTGACCGATTTGATTACAATTACAACACGACGCTGTGCTCGTCGACGTTATCATGTCGGCCTCAGTCATCAGAACATGCTGTTGCGTTTCGGTGACGTGTCGATTCTTTGGTCACGAATTCCGCATTTCAATGGCGTCAGTCTTCCCTCACTTCTTTGCGCGCATGGCATGTTGTGACTCAAAGGTGTGTTGATTCTACTACTGCTGTTACATTGTTCGTGTATTGCTTCTCGTAGCTAACCGATCGTGTGGTAGTCGTTTCCCGAACGGTAAGCAAAAACGTCTGACGCTGCTCACACTGTGCAAAAAGTAGAACTAGCCGAAAGTTGACTTGTAGGGTCGAATGAAACGTGCACGTGAGAGAAGGGAACAGCTGAAGCGAACTGCATAACAGTGACAGCTTTACGAATAACACTTGAAGTTGGCATGTCGTGAGAACGTGTTGCTTGACAGTTGCTGACAAGCAATTGCTGGAACCGAGCAACACGCAGCGCAATTGCGCGCATTTGTGTACACAGCATAAGGCTCCGTTTCTACGATGTCGGAACGGGAGCAAAGAAGAAGCAGAGCAAAACAGGAAAGACAAGGTACTTGTTCTTCATGTGAGTTTCTTAAACGAGACTTTATACGGAATGAGCAACGTAGAAGTAGCAATGATACCCATCACCTCTGTCTCTTGTGCGACAAGGACGTTGTCTTATACAGTCTTTTGACTTGCTTAGCAGCGACATCATTCCCGTCAAAAAGTTGCTCGGATACAGGCAATGCTATCTTAATGCAGGACAAGCCATACCAGCGTCGTCGTGTAGTCATAGCTCCCCAACATACATAGTCTCTATCAACAAATACTTCTGCATCCTCACCCCTGACCGCCAACCACCGTCAGCTTCTGCACCACTTACATACCCCTCCATAACAAATACGCTTTACTACACATCTCGCAAAACTGCTACAACGTCACCACAGCCTCGACGATCAGTGCGAACTTACGGACATGTCCGACATGACGCGTCACGTCGCACGCGTCACCCCCTGCCTCCCCTCCTCCTCCTCCTTGTCCCTCTTCTTCTTCCTCTGCTTCTGTGCCCCCTTCTCCGTCTCACCCGTCTCACTTTCCCACGCGTCGCTCGTCTCTCCCGCCGACCTCACGGTCCACAACCTCTCCGTCCAGTGCGTCCACAACGTCCAGCAGACCGTCGTCGCCGAGAATGCCACGCTAAGTACGACCGACGATTCGTCTTCCCGCGCGCGCACCACGTTTCTGTCTTTTCTCGCATCACCGTTTGCTTTGCGATCCCCCGCTCCAGTGACGACCAAAGTGTCGCACGTCATTGCGACCTGGGACGACCACCCGCTTGCGGCCCATCGCCGGACCCTAACCGCGCAACATCACCAACACCCACCCCCACAATGCGACGACGACGTTGAAGTTGAAGTAGCTGGAGACGGCGCGACGTGCGACACGCGCGAAGATCGAGACGCGTTACGCGCCGTTTCGGACGTCACTCGCGCGTCGTTTGCCTACGAAGTGCAGATATGGGTACACTCGTCGTGGCCACTCGAGGGGCTGTGGCACGAGGCGAACCAATTGGTGGCAACACAAGACCCGCTGCTGGTGGTGCGCAACGTACCAGTGCACGAGCACGAGCTGCAGTTTCGCGTGCGGCTGCGGGCGACAGAACGAGAACTGCAGTGGCCCGAGCAGCTCAGTGCCTTTTTCTTCCCGTCGTTCATTGTCTCGTTCGTCGCTTTTTTGTGGCGGGACGTGGCTGTGGACGCGTTCGCGAGCGAAGTCGTGGGCGAGTGGAGTGACGTTGTCACGTTGGCTGCTACGTTGGATCACGACGCGGCGGACGCGTCCGGCGGCCTGGAAGCTCTCGTGGCAATGGGCGTGAGCTCTGCTGTTGTGGCCGTCCTCGCGACACTTTGTATCGGATCGAGTTGCTGTGTCTTGGCGCAGCTCTACCTCCGACGTCGACGAGCAGTGTTTGGAACGAGACACCGGTGCAAGAGGCAGTCGGCTCGATGGACGTCGTCGTCGTCGTCGTCTTTCGAGAGCGACGGCAGTGCTGTGCCAGAGACAACTGGTGACGATACTCCACTTCGAGAAGACGTCGACGCCAGCAGGGAGAATGACTGCTGCAGTAAGTCGATGCAGCACTTGGAGCACGAACTGCGCGACTTGCGCCAGGAGTTAGCAGACTCGGAACATGAGGTGCGACGGCTCATGCTCTTGAGCGGGTACGGCCTTGAGACACTGACGCTCGACGAGCTGAAGCAGCTCGAGCACGCGCTACAGCACACGCTCAAGCGCATCCACGAGCGGACAACGCAGCACGTGACGATGCGGGAAGCAGAGCCAGTGGACGATTGAGCGACGGCTACTGAAGCTGCGCGGTGCACTTGTTCACTGCACTCGATCCACTTCATTTGCCGTCTCTTGACGTGCGTTTAGCTGGTGGCAGACGCAAGTGGAGATATGCCACCTGGCTACGCTGTACGAGACGTACGCAGTGCTATCTGCAGAGCAGTATCAGACGCTTTGCGTGGCTGTGCATCTCCTGTCGGTCTGCACGAAGAGACTAATGATAGATGTGTGAACTCGGACACACCAACGCGGCTGTCCGTGACGTTGAGCAAGCAGTGCGGACGAGATGGACTGCTCTCGATTTCGACATCGCAAGTGGGTCGTCCTCCTGCTTCTTTGCAGCAGCTGCACGCTCTTCCGTTGACAAGGAGCCAAGAGGGACTCGGCATGACACGAGATGTATGTAGCAGCTTCTGCTCTCGCGGACGTGCACAAGGCAGGAAGTAGCAGCACGTGCATGACACGCAAGCGCAAGCAATGGACACCAGCCACACGGCCCACAGTCTGTCTGTCTGTCTGTGATTCTCTCGCATTGCAGCACGTCGCAACGTATCCATTTGCTTCATGTCCATCCATTAGCACACACTCAATGCCACGAACTCCTCTTGTCCACGTTCACGTCGCTTCTTGTTCATCCCTTGCGCACAATGTCGAGCAGCTCCACGTCAAAGATCAGGTCTGCATGAGGCGGAATGACACTACCTGCGCCTTTGTCGCCGTACCCCTTTGCCGACGGGATCGTCAGCGTCGCTTTCATGCCCTTGCTCATGCGCATGACGCCTTCGTCCCAACCGCGAATGACTTGACCGAGGCCAATCTGGAACTGAAAGGGCTGGCCTCGGTCGCGCGACGAGTCAAAGACCGAGCCCGTGGCCGCCAGCTTGCCCGTGTAATGCATGACCATCGTGTCGCCTCGCTGCGGGAATGTCACGCCGTCGCCTGCTTCAATCACGTGTGGCAGCACGAGCCGTTCGTGGGCCGGGAGGTCCGCCTGCAGCTCATGGTCCAGTACTTTCAGCGTCACCGTGAGCGATTGACCGGCGTACGGGTGCGCCAAGTCAATGTCCACGCTCTCGTTTGTGACGCGGACAACGTGCGCCCGTTCTCCAGTAGCGAACTCCAGCACGTGGCCCACAGCCAAGCGCTCCCGCTCCTTCTCGGGCAACTGCATCTCCGCGAGCGGCACGGACAGGACCTGTTTCGCTTCGCCGAACGCCATGGCCGGCTCAATGTCCACCGTCTTGGACTCGCCTTTGGTCATGCCCTGCACGGCGAGTTCGACGCCCGGCAGCACGTGGCCCGCTCCCACGAGAAACTGCAGCGGAGCGCTCGCGCCCTCGTGCGTCTTGTCCAAAGCGTCCCCTCCCGAGAGTCGTCCGTCCATGTGCAGCAGCACACGGTCGCCCAGCGCCACAACGCCACGATTCGGTGGTGCTCGAGTGCTGGAACTAAACAGAGCAGCGGCTGTAGCGGGGAGTCGAGACACACGCGCAGGAGGGACTTGTACTGGTCCGTTGACACTGGAGATCGTTGCGGCAGCGAGTGACTGGATCAGCGACCGACCACGAGGAGCTACAGAGAGAAAGAGAGATAGAGAGAGAGAGAGGGGGGGACAATGGAGAGTCAAATTGCATGCACAAGAGACAGAGACGACAGTGATGGAGTTAGTTGGTTGGATGGGCAGTTAAGTAAGTCGGTAAGTCAGTGGGTTAGTGGATTCGTTCGTTGGTTGTGGTAACCCACGACGGGAAGAGTGGGGAGCGACGTGCTGTGGGGCCATTGAGGGACTGGGGACTCACTTACCGACACGCAACGGACGGCCCATACGCGTCTGGAAACATTTGAGCATTTTGGTTCCGTCGGTCTGTGCCGTTTTCTACTGAGTGAGTGAGTGAGTGAGTGAGTGAGTGAGCAAATCACTGAGTGAGTGAGCGAATCACTGAGTGAGTGAGCAAATCACTGAGTGAGTGAGCGAATCACTGAGTGAGGAGCGACGTCACTCTTGTGGTAATGCCCGAGTCCAAAGTGACACGAACGAGATATCTGATAATGGATTCGACTGCAGGTACGGACGCTGAAACGTAAAAGGAGGATACGTTCTGCAAGGTATCTGTCGCCTGCTGGATCTCGGATAGCGGATGCCCGATACGGTTCATGGAGTTGTGTACTTCATGGCGGGTAAAGCGTAAGGGTCTCGCTTGATTTGGTTCGTGCGACTAGAAACACAAAATGTACAGGCCGTCGTGCCCCCGTGCACAATGGGGCGTGCAATCGTGACACGCACGCGGCTAAATCTCAAAGCGGTGGGCGGACGAGAGCTGGTCGTGTGGAACTGCGCTGCTGTAGAAATCTTGTGCTGTCACGGTCCTTGGTGTGTCGGTACTGGGTGGTGCTGCAGCTGCGACGTCCGATAGACCGTGAAGCGGGATCTCGTCGTCCGAGATGAGCTGGAACGAACTCCGTGGTGCACAAACAGCACCTGGTCCCAGTCCGTTCACGCCATCGCCTGCAGCACGCGTCAAGGCGTCCTGCGACTTGGTCTCATCCTCCAAATTCAACGAACTGCTCAACAGAGAGCCGGCGTCACTGAGGGATGCAAGCTGCTGCTCGAATGAGCCCATCGAGCTCAGCTTGCGGTTGCGAAGAAACAGCTTCTCCTCATCCCCGTCATCTCCAGTGACGGACAAGTTGCTGAGGCAGCGTGTTAGACCGCCATTGATCCAGGAATCATCGGGCTCCACGTCCGACGTGATCGAACGGAGACTTGCACTCTTTGTGTCGCCAAGACTCAGCATTTTGTTCAGCATTCGAGTCGAAGCTTGGTCCGACATGTTCTGCTGGAACTTTGGTACCATCGATTCTTCAGCGCTCGATCCAGATAGTGAGTGCGCTGCCGACAGGGACGACATCCTCAACACGGCAGCATCGATGTCATCGCCAAAGTCCCGCAAGCTCGTGGCTGACAGCATGCTCTTGAAGCTGCTGGTGCCAAGCGAGTTGTTCGAGTGGCCGCGTAGAAACTCGTTCAGAATCATCACGTCTTCCTCGCTCATGCGCTCCTCCGATTCGTCTTCAAGAGGATTCAGTATCGGCTCTAAATTCGCCTGCGTCAAACTAGACTCACTCATGACAATCGGAGCTGACGCATTCACGGGGCATGATATCGTCCGTCGCGTTTGTGGTACACTCAGTTTGCCCGGAGAAGTAAACGCTGGCGGAGCGTCCTCCGTGTTCAATAGCCGCGGGCGACCTAGCTTCGTGTACGTCTTCCGGTTCGGGTTCAGTGTCTTCCACCTAAGTTTTATTGCATCTTCCGTGCGACCCTGCACGTCAAATCCGACATTGTGTCCGTTAGTCAGATGCATCATTCTTCAGCACACCACGACACCGAAACTGTATCTATCCACCGGCAGAATCTCAGCAATTTGCGTCCAGCGATTGCCGTACTTCGCGTACGCTTGTTGAATGGCTTGATCTTCCTCTTCTGTAAATGGCCTGGCAACCATGGACACGGTCGCTTTAGTCCAAGCAACACAGCGCCACCACATAGCGATGAGACAACGACAACGCACGATTTGTTGATGCTCGGATCCAGTCGATTCCGCCAGCGTTCGCGGCACTGCTTGGCCCTGCAAGAACAAAAACACCGACAGCAACCACAACGATAGTGAGAACAAGCCACGGCACGCAGCCGTCAGCTGTATCCTCTTTCCCTCATCCATCGCCGCTGTACACGCACGTTCGTCCTGGAATGCTATTCGACACTTGTCGCCAGTTGTCGTATCCCTTGAGCATCATCTCCATGAGCATCGCGTCCTCCTCCACCGACCACGGACCTTTGACAAGTCCCGGCTTGAGCACTTTGTTCCAGCGCTGCAGACACTGCGCATTGTCACGTCCTGGCACGCGCTCGGCCACCACCTGCACCCACAAACGATAGTCAGACAGTAGTCAGACAGCCAGTCAGTCACTACCCATTCTCCAACTCCATCAAACTCTCAATCACTCGCCATCCAATTGCGATGACCGAGTTCAGCCACTGCCTTCTTCAGCGCTTCGTCCTGCTCGGGCGTCCAGCGTTTGCTGACAGCGACGCCGCTGTTCTTCTTCTTCTGTGCTTCTCCTGCAGCGGCGTCTGCGAACCGCTCCGTGTTCACGACGTCGCGCTCGCGCTTCCTGTTCCACGAACACCAACAGCATTGACCATCGACCACTCAGCACTCGCTCTCTCTCTCTCTCACTCGCATCGGCCATCACTCTGGATCGGCCCTTTGTATACAGACAACACGTTGCTCGCGTACACTGTTGGCTCGAACTCTGTAGTATACACGACAGGTATACACGATGGATACATATATACACACACGCAGCGTAAACGACAGGTTGCAACGGTTAATGTGAGGTCAGTGACGAGCCATTGTGCAACACACAGGATAGAGCGAGAGGGAGAGAGAGCGAGAGAGCGCGCACGTACTCATACTGTCGGTCCCACACGTAGGGCCGTGCGCAGCGGGTGGCCGTACTTTCGAGCAGAGCAGAGCGCACACGGACCGAGGGGGCGGGTGCGCGGCGAATACACAGTGTACCACAGCTGATTGGGTTATAGAAACTGCTTTTTTCACGGTCTCGACAGCGCTGTGGTGGAAGCGGGTGGTGGTGACGGGCGCTGATTGGTTGAAAAGGGGCAACACCCCCCCATAGGAAGGTCGCTGCTATCTTGCTACATGGAGCTAACCGGACTTTTCGTCGCAGTGGTCGTCGACGCGGGTACCGTTACTTCACGCGACAGCACAAGAATACTGTATTTTTATTTCGGATGGACAGGGAAGCGCTCGTGCTTGGGGAATTGCCACGTCGCAAGTCCGCACGCACTCGGTAGCGACTGCCCTGGCCCAGCTTTGCCTGCTTGACTGAGGCGATCGAAGTGGGCCGTCGTCAGCGGTCGAGTAGCTCGTCTTTTACTGCGGGAATGACAAAAAATAGGACGGTGGCATCGATCTGGTCCGACGAAATCGAACACGCGGCACGCGCAGGGACTCGTGCTGCAGCTAAAGCAGGTCGACACTTCAGTGCACGGAGAAGGTGTACATTGCATCACAAGAGCTCGAGCAAAAAGTATAGTGCAGTGTTCGTGCTGCTGTAAAAGGTGCGACGACGTGACGTCTCTCGAGTCGTCTTGGGACACTGTGACAACTTTTGATGCACTTTGATGTGCTTGCGGCACGTTCTTGTTGCAGTATCGAGGCATCGACCAGTACAGTCGATGCTTTCACGGCATTGGCAGCGATAACGGCGAATGAGAGATGCCGCGTCTTACCCATTGTGCGACAGACGGCCTTGTTGACCTCGACAGCGCTTCTCCAGCCTCACGCACTACATGATCCCTTCCTTCGCCGTCGCAGGAGCCAGAAGGTGGCAAAAGGGATCGAATGCATGACAAAGCAATAGGGTTTCATCCCTGTTGACGCTTTCTTCGCGACTGACAGAAGACAGCCGCGGGCTGGCAAATTGGCACAAAATGACTACTCCTGCCGACTAGGGGGCATGTAAACAAGTGCCCCGTGTGCGCTGTGGTGACGTAGGCAGAGCATTGTGTCGCATCCCACATGCGTGCGGAACTCGCACATCTATGCACGACGCAACAAGTCCGTCGTGATGTACTCGATCGCCACAGTAGACATGGACGAGCCCAATGTCGCACGAAATGGTACACAGCAGCGTGTCCATCGCGTCTTGTGGGCACAAAAGCGACGTGCGATAGTCTTTCGCGATGAAGTGAGCGAAGATAGCAGTGGTTTGGTCGTTTTCCTTTCCTTCCAGTGCCGCAGTTTTGTCGATCCATTGCCATCCGGTGGACTGAACGTTTTGGATGGTAGTAAGCTGCGCACAATGTGCAGCAACATGCGCTTGGAGGATGACGAATGACGTATACTTGGCGACCAGGCAGCGCACACAGCTGGGCATATGTAGATTGAGCTTTTGTAACGAAGTTGTGTTGCTACGCTTGCATTCTCATAAGCGCTTACGTGTATTGATATGGAATCTGCGGGGTCCAGAGGCTTGGGAACGGATCACGTGGAGATAGGGCAGAGTCAACCGATCGTCAGGCTGGCTTCTGGTCCGCTTGATGGCTGCAACGAAAGGGCTGGTTCTACGAACATGTTGCATCCCATGTCGACTTCCTGGTAAATGGGGTCGACGTCAAGTCAATACCGACAACAGCTACTCGTCATGCGCGACACCATTCACTTGACCCGTGCATGCGATCGAGACCCAGCCGCAAAGAGCTGTGCTGTCGAGACGCTTGGCGTGGAGACCAGCTACACGGTAACTCATGTTGTACCAATGATCGCTAAGCGAGGAGGCATCAACACTTTTAATGCCGTCGGGCATTCCTTACGCGACACAAACGTGGCGACGTGACCCATGTTTGACTTATAGCGCACAGACGCAGTTCATGAATGACCGCAATGACCGCAATGACCAACGTGGTCGTCAGCATGCAACACTGTACCACATCTATTTTTCCCGTACGCACAATAATAGCGTCTACCAGCTGCTAGTCGGTTTGCCAGTCTCGGATCGTATTTTACCACCACATAACATAAAGACGCCTCCATTCGTGCGCATGAGCCACACATACAGACCTGCCGCCAGGTGCGATTCCGTCGCTAACTCACAGATTCGATACTCCACCAGTAGACCACGGCGCCTATCGACACAATTTACCCTTTCGAATGGGCCGCATGAGGTCCGAGTCTAGCAGGTCATCAATATCGGTCGTAATGTTACCGAGCTCGTACGAGATCCCATTTGCGCTTCGTCGTGAAAATGAGCGCGTCTCACTGGCGTCCGGCGACGCGCGGGTCAGATTGCGCCCACTGTTTGTTCCAAAATTGCGTTGCAAGTAGGCGTTAGGGTCGACTGGCAGATTGGCAATCTGGTCATCGACTTCGGACGCAGTGACGCAATCGACCGACACCTGCGCACGCCAACTGTCAATGAGTCCCTGAAATAAATGCTGGTCCTCGTGATCCAGATTCTGCATTGCCTTCTGCAACGATTCCGGATCCTTAAAAGAGCTAGTCAGGGTGTCCAGCATGCTACTCGTACTCGACGGGCGGCCTCTTTCGCTTTTGTCCTTCGATATGGATACGGTCGCACGAAACATCTCGTCCAACTCACCACTTGCTAGCAAATCCTCCGGAGACATGTCCGCAAAGGAGTCCAACCCGCGTGAGCTACCAAAGCTTAGCAAGCTGCTCGAGTGGCTACGGAGCAGCTCCCTGAGTATCGCCGCATCCTTCGTTTCGTTCTCGGCCTTCACTTCGTCGCTCAGTGGCTCGATGATAGGTTCAGGGTACTGATGCGTCATCGCTGTCGACGGCGAGTCCTCTGTGTATGGCATCGTCATCGCTGTCGACGGCGACTGCGCTGTATATGGCATCGTCATCTGTAGCGTGTCCAAAGATAGCGTCGCGTCATTTGGTATGCGATCGTCCGGATGAAGCATCAGGGCAGAATACCCGGTGTTCCCGTACAGTGGCATTGACGGCGTCATAACCGATCGATTTATCGCGGGAGCAACAACATCATCAGGCAGCGGAGGTATCGCAGACCGCTGTTTGTTCACTGTCATACCAGGCATCAGTTTCGGACGCCCTGGCTTGGCCTTCACTTTTTCGTTCGGGTTCAGCGCCTTCCAGCGCATCTTCACGGCGTCTTCCGTACGTCCTGGCAGCAACTCGGCAATCTGCGTCCACCGGTTCCCCATGTTTCGAAACCCGTCCTGAATCACACGGTCTTCTTCCGGCGTAAAAGGGCTACATCAGCACACAGCACACAACACCCACCAGAACACCAACAAGTCAGCACCTGTCAACGTCCACCCAGACGCTACTTTCCGCACACATAACACGCAGTGTATCCACGACAGCGTACAACTTGTTGATACTCGGATCCAAGTGATTCCGCCACCGCTCTCGACATTGTTTGGCACTACACCACATACAGAAACAAACAAATAGGAAACCACCCAACAAATACAAAAAGAAACCGAAAAATAAAACACATACAACACAAAATAACAAAATAACAGAACAGCAGAACATCACCACCACAAGAGCCCACAAAATGAGCGCCACACCACTTTCCCACCACATTGACACACACACACACACACAGTCCGACACAACCACAGCCCCCAAACAACAGCTGTGCGTACGTGCGTCCGGGAATGTACGTCGCCACTTCTCCCCACGAGTGACAGCCCTGGAGCACCATGTGCTCGAGCGTGCTGTCCTCTTCGTAGGCCCAGTGGCCCTTGACGAGCCCCGGCTTGAGCACTTTGTTCCAGCGCTGGAGGCACTGCGCGTGGTTGCGCCCGTCGACGCGCGAGGCGATCGCTTTCCAGTTGCGCTGGCCAAACTCCTCGACCGCCTGGCGCAGCGCTGCGTCTTGCTCGGGTGTCCAGCGCTTGCCCTTTTCGTCCTCGGCCTGCGCTTTCTGCGTCTTCCGGGGCGCCTCGTACACCAGCGAGTGCAAGAGCGTCGTCGGGCGTTTCCTGCATACAGTAATCAAGTCAAATACGATTTAGCCATGCGAGGCGCGCAAAGGGCGTTGCGGCACGTCGAGCGCGCGCAATGGGGCCGCGCTAGGGGTGGGGGTTGCACTTTGGGACCTACACTCCTGGTTCCGCTATCGAGGTGGACATGTGGACACGTTTTGTCAAACACGACTGTTAGGGATCACGTGCGAGGGACTGATCACGCACGGAGCTGCACGCGCGAGAGACGCACCCATTGTGTGGGATTCGAGACGAACAATCGGTGCTAAGTGTGCGTGTGTCTGTGTGTGCAGAGGAGTCGATGAAAGAGCGCAAGTGACGAGAAAGGAGAGAGCGCGTTGGGTACGCAGGTGCCCAATTATGGTCACCATATGCTACGAAGAAGGAGCAGAGAATGGAGTTTCAACCAATGAGAGACCGCCGACGAGGTCAAAGCTAATGGTTGCTAAATGAGAACTTCAACTATGCAATCTAGTATCGAGTTTGACGGACGGGGCCGTTGGGTTCTTTTTTGCAAGACCTTGTGCCATCCATGGTGGAGTGAGTAGGGGGAGTTCTTGACCTTGGACGAGCCGACTTAATCGTCGACACGACGCACTCAATCGGTCATATCGCCATCATTTCGCACGGCACGTTGGAGACGAGGCGGACAATAATAGCCCCCTCGCTGATGCGACAGTGTGTACGTATTCGGTAGTCACGAGGAGACCCCCAGCTTCGATATTTTGACGGTCTGAAGAAAGAGCAGGAGCATGAGTACCGTTGGTGTGGATACTTACACGAGCAACCAGAGAAGGCCAGTTTCGTGGGGCACGCCGGCGCAATCACTGCAATGTGCCTTTTCGGTGGTGTCCATCCGAGCCACAACCTGATAGAGTTTCGAAGAGCAAATCTGATCCGCGATCGGCGCGCGCCATGTCGACCGCTTTGTTCACCATCGCTGAAGGATGCTGCCATGATATGCCATTACGTGCGGCATGCAGCGACTCGGTTCAGTGAGAGTCGGACGTATTCGATCGTCAAAGCCGTTCTGCTGAGGTGTGTGAGTCCATTCTTGACACGCGCACTGTCCACGTCCTAGTTGAACTACGTGCTTCGGCACTGGTTGACATTATCGCGCGCTGTCGATTTCGGGGTTTTCGTCCTGAAGTCGGCGTTGCACCGCACATTTGGGACGGCCAGCTGTCGGCACATCCTTGTTGCCGTAGTCGGATAATGAACGATCCATCTCCAGCGGATCCCATGTTATGATCGTGCATTTGACGTTGATTGTGCCGGACTCACGATACATGAAGTGCGCGAGACGTCTTCCGATCAACAGGTCGTGGCCGATGTGCTTTTCCGCACATCGTTCGTTGGGTTCCAACCCGCTTTGTTCGTTCGTAGACAAACCGAGCGGACACAGGTGTGCGGACAAAGATCGTGTGTCGTGACAGGCAAAACACGCATTTGTCTCTAGCCCTCTTGTGTGCAAACATGTGCTGCAGACTCTCAGGATTCCGAGCGCCAATGCATTGCGCATGTACTTGCAACGGTCCATTTGGTTGACGCAGCGCACAGATCGCGAGCAGCTTATCGACGAAGATGCAAATCGTCGACCCCGATACAGCCGCATCGAACCCTTTGCCATGTACCGTCTTCCTCTATCGCACTCAGCTGCTCCATTCGGTACAGCGCTCGACACAGACCCGGAACGCAGCTCTGCCAACCAGCAACTCTTGTCCAGGTAACGTACTTCTCGCGCTCCTAAGTACGCACTCGCGGTCACTTCACTGTCACACGCTCGAAGAGCACATACAAAGTCGCAGCTGTTTTCCAACGCCATGTCACCATTATTGCATGGCACAATTTACGCTGACGGGCAGTTTGTGACACACAAAATCGGTCCTCCGTGTACCCAAAATAGGGGACCACACCCATTTGCACGGTCATGCCCCAATCTTATTGACGCCATGTGGAGCCGCCTCGCCGAAGGTTTGGCCGAGATCGTGGCGCCGGAAGAGGGCTATGCGCAGGAGCTGGACGACACGTCGGACCAGGACTCGATCCACGTCGATTCCGTCGCGATGCGTCCTCAATTTGGATCGGTCAAAGGTTCGGTGCCGTCGGTAGCTGCTGATAAACTAAGAGAGGACGAAGACGAGCAGGAGGAATACATCCGTGACTTGGAGCGAGCGTTACTTCAGCAGAAGAAACAGAACAACGTGCTGGAAAACCGAGTAAACACGCAAGAGCGCTGGTGAACTGTGATTGGTGGAAAAGCACGGCTGACCACGTGGGACGTCTATTTTTATATCGGTTTGGGGTGGGATTAGATTAAGGAATTGATCGAGAGTCAGCAGGACAATGGAGACAAAGCCGAACAAAAGCAACTGGAAAGACACGTGCGCGATCAGGTACCGTTGATATATGTGTTTGTCTTTGTTCGTATCTCTCTTGTTTGGAATATGCGTATCGAAAGTATTGACGAATGTCGGGTGCTCACAATGCCATATGAGCTGCACCTGTTGTTGTTGTAGGAAGAAGAGGATACACTGCGACAAAAAGACGTCACTATTGAGGACAAGTCCCAAGCTGCAGAACTTGTCGATGCTGCAGCGTTGCAGAGTGAAGAGGATAGCGTGGCTCGGGTAAAATATCATCGACTCGTACAAGACCTGCAGCAGTCTCAAATCGAGGTGAACAATGCTATCGTTTGCTTGGAAGAGGTGGTTTGCGTGCACTCGTGACCTTTGTTCTGTTTGTTTATGGTGTGGACCAGGTCTCTACCTTGGCAGCACAATGTCAAGCTCAGGCGAAGGAGCTGATGGTTTTGCGTGATAAAGAAGAAGCATTGCAGGTAGCCAACGAGACGTTGCAACAGGATGAACAGGAGATTCGTGCTCGAGCAGCTGAGTACGAGCAAGCATATGTGGACTTACTGGTGGAGATTGAGCAGATCAAGACGGCGAACGCGGAGGAGAAGACGGCGCTGATTGAAAACAGCAAGGACCGTGGGAGTTTGATCGACAGTCAACGGCTCTATGATCTGGAAGCTCAGCTAACGACTGCGGAAGCGGACAAGATGCTCGCTCAACAAGACGCGGAGCGATTGCAACGTGACGTCGACACGCTGGAAGACGTTCTTCGTCAGTTTCAGATGGATAGCAAAGCCCATAGGGCACGTATAAATGCACTGGAAGCAGAACTTGAGCAGACCACAAGAAGGTTGCAGTCGCACCAGCCTCTTTTGGGGCCTAATGAAGGAGAACGCAACGATTCCGAGCGCTTGGTGGAGAAACTCGACAAAAAAACGCACGAGTGTGAGCAGCTGCGCGAGGTACGAGTGTTTCGGTCCCAGTGCGGTAAAAGCTGAAGCTGATGCGACCTTTGCTTGTGTGAAGTAGGCGCTCGAAAGCACAGCAACGCAGTACACCTCAGAGCGTGACGTGGTCGACAAAAGACTTGCAGCTCAACTGGTGGTGCGATGTTGCAGCATTGTTGGCGTACACACGGTCAGTGACGACGTTACTGATGGTCTTGAGTTGCTCTGTGGATACAGGTGGCATACGTGGATAGCGAGAAGAAGGGTGAAATACTTCATCTCATGGCACGAATCATGGTACGTGTGCTGTCTTTGCAGCAAAAGTGCACGTTTGTAGTAATGCTCGCTTCTTCCAGGACTTCACGGAGGACCAGAAACGTCGCGTTGGTGTGGGCTATCCAGTCGAAGGCAACGGCGGCGGTGGACTCTTTTCGTCGCTCCTCGGACTCGTCGCTCCTGGCGACGAAAGCGCTTCTGTCGATCCATCGACGATTGAAGGCAAGGATTTCTCGGAGTTGTGGTCCGACTTCTTGCTTGACGAGACATCGAACCGGAAATAGTTTGTAGCGGTAACCAAAATAATAAGCCGAGCGGATGACGTCTCGCCCATTCCATGCGGCCGCACTTGTGTCAAAGCTCAACTTCTTCTTCGTGCACAACTGATGCTGCAGTCACATGTAAATCAGCAAAAGCGCGCCACGTTTTACCACAACGTGCAATGATATGGCAAAACCGCTGAACACGTAAAGTATCGACAACTTTTGCGCGACTGAACGAGTACTAGATCACTTCACTTGTGGCGCTTTTCGGCAAGATCGTGTCATAGAGTGCTAGGGCACGAATCAACATGGATCGAGAAACGCAAGGTCGCATGGAAACCTCCAAACAACTTGCTTGGGTGGCGACATTCTGCATAAAGTATTACTAGACACTCGGATCGCGTGTTGGCAAGTTGCTCGCGTAATATGTAAACGGTCTGCATCATTTCAGACAAAGACGCAAGTTCGGGTGAACGGAACTGACAGTCGGAACTCTTCTTGCACAGCGGTAGTTATAGCGCCATACAATTTGGTACCCAATACGCATGCTGACTATTGCTCACTACATGTCGCGCGCGTCCCTTCTTGCTTGGTGGCTTTGTTGATTGATGGCATGGCCTGTACGAGTGAATGACATATGTGTAAAGTGCTTACTTGAATGACGTCCACAGTCATCTTGGCGTTGAGTACCATCTGCTCGAATAATATGCACAGTGACAGTCGATTCAATATGTAATGTAACCGACTCATTCTAGTACACGAGCTGCGTAGTATTCGCACATCGAGCAATCCACACGAGCACCAGGTGGCAAACGCATCAATTGGACCTCAATGTCGACGCCATTCTGCTCTCATTTGTATGCCTATCGGGACTTTCTGGATTTGCGTACGTACAGAACAAACCTGTGTGGGATACGAACGAGTCGCGCGCACCCCACCATTGCCACTATTATCGCCCATGACCTGTGATACCTATTTCGCTCGGGTTTTGCATCGACTTGTGCTGGCGCCTCGCAAGACACGTCGATTTCGTCTGTCCTCTTTCTTTCGGTACGTAGACGTCAATGTCTAGCTTGTGTGTTCGCCACGAGCGGGTTAATGCACGATAATAACAATTGGCATTCAGTCCAAGATACGTACGTATCAACACACCTGCTCTTTGCGGACACTGGTAGTCAGTCTTCTGTCGATAGTTCTTCTTTTCGTATCAGGATAGTTTGCGGCAATGGTAGTGCTGCGTTATGTGCAATAGGCATGTACGCGTCACGATAACCCCAGATGACGTGATGTAAGGATGTACGCACGCTTAGGTTACATACTCACAGACGCACGAGGGAGACTTGGCGAACCGAAGCAATGTTCTTGATTGCACCTTGCGTTGCATTCCTATATGTGCGTCCACTTTCATGTAAAGCTTAGCCATCACATGACAAAAAGCACAACAAACGCGTTCACTCTCAAGCACATTCTCGAAACGATTTGACACTTACTAACAAGCTCAACAGACTAAGTGTTGTCTTTGTGTCAACCGCTTGCGTCGATCCTCGCGCTGCTTAGCCGCACTAAAGCGCTAGACATTGGAACCATTTCACGGGCTTTTGTGAGTTCTTGAGGACCCCATCGCCGTTCAATAATGCAGTGTCGGCGTGATTCAGCTGTGGTCTGTAGAATCGATCGAGGTAGTGGTTCCCAAACTTGGCAACGTCTAACCCAGCCGCACAGCTCTTGTACTCGACAAGGCCGTCGTTTTCCTCGGACTTGTGCGGCAAGATCTTACCCCCGATGGCGGAACGGACTTGGTACGGCGAAAAGAGGCCAAGGGGGCTGTCACTGCACATTGCAGCAGCTACATTGCGACGGTACGCTTTCTGCGCTGCGGCATATGCCTTGTTCGTGGATGGAGTGCTGTACTTCTCGCCTTGGTAGATGGTCGACTTGCGGCAAACCGTCATTGGACAATGACCGATCAAGCCGAAGAGGTTCTCCGCGACCGTTCCGTCTTTTTCGCAGACACCCATCATGAAATCCGAAGCCATGCTGCCACCCATGGGCGGACTGAGCGCTACCCACGATGTTTTGCGTGAGAATTTGCACCTTCCCGTTGCTAATGCAGCAGCCATCACGAGGCCGCCCATCGAGTGTGTCACAATGATCGTACTATCGATGACGCCTTCAGTCACGTTGCTCGTGGGGCTCATGGAGAGCGCAAACTTGCAGAATTTCTTGTGCAACACCTTGTCCGTCCAGCCAGCGGTTTCGGTGTCGATTATCGCGTACTTGATCGTTGAGCAAAACGGGGCGTGGCCATGCATGTCGCCGATCATGTCATGGACCATAGCTGGCGTGTCCTGCAACTCGGGCGCTTCTTTCGGGTTGCCCAGACCGTGAAAGAAAATGCAAGGACGGGGTTTCGATGCAGGTTGACACTCGGTCGCCTGCATGGCCATGTGCGCCGCTGCCTTCAGCATTCTCGTCCCACTCGACGGCAATTCGCGCCCCCGCATCAACGCTAACGCTGTTGACGTCATTGGCGTCGCTTGGGCAACAGGTGTGCACGAGCTCTTTCCATCGGTCAGCTTTGGTGCCGGAATACGCTCTTGTCGATCGAGATACTCGACCACGATGTCCAAGTCACTGCTGAACGCCGTGAAGCCGGCCTGACCAGACACACAGACGGCGTACTGTGTTCCGGCGAACGAGGTCCTGAACAATGGGCCACTCGGACACTTGACCGCTTCCTCGCCAATCGATGCACCCGGAATCCGAGATACCGCATTCAACGCCGGCAAGATCTCGCTGAATGGTAGTGCATCGTGCGAGAGACATTCGACGGTCTCGATGCCACCTGCATCTTTGGTCGTTAGGTAAGCAACGCCGTTTGCGAGCGTGTAGGTGACCTCGGACCCCTTGTCGTGAAAAGTGGCGTATCCTTCGTAGAGGACATTCGTGCCATTAGCCGACATGACTGGAGTCGCGTAGACATCATAGGACAATGTCCCGTGGAACCTCATCTTTTCTCGCTTCATGATGACGTGGAGTCGCACGGAGGGAGCATCGGCCGGTGCAGTCAGTTCGTGCTCACTCTTTGAGGAAACCCCGAGTTGGAAGAGCCCTAGCAGAGCGAAGGCAGAAGAAAGAGCGACTCGCATGGATGGCACGAGAGGTGTTGTTTCTTCCAGCAGGTAATTGAGGAATAAGGAGGATCACTAGCACACAAAAGCGAGCGAGACTCTCAAGGCGCGCAACAGAGCGATTATGTGACACGACTCGATCGGGCAATCGTACGCGAGGTCCATCGGGTATATGCCTTCCGCATCTCGCGAGATGAACGCTGCACTCGCGTAGGGACGAGCTCAAGAAAGGACAATGTGGATTCAGAGACAGTCACGTCTGCTTGTCACGTGGCCCCAATGGCCGTTTTTCTAAAGCTTTGGTATCCGGTATCGCCGATGGGGCCCATTTCGGCGAGGCGGCAGCTTGCACTTCCCGACTGCTCCGAATGTAAAGACGCCGCGTAATGCTCGTTGGAACATGCGGGAACTCGACCCGCCTCGTTTAGGACGAGGCCGCGAGAGTGTCTCAGGCACACATCCGTGCACGCGTAAACATGCGGACTCGAGGCCGTTCGTCCGGATCAGGATGGGGAATCCCATATGGTACTCACCGAACGAGAACGGTCCACGTTTACGACTGCGTTTGAGCTTCTGCTCCTCCTGTGGAATCGATTACATGCGTCAATGGTAGCGAACAAGTGTCGCCTTGTTGATCAAACAGTAGAACGCGCGTGATTGTTTCCCTCTCTACCTCAGTTCATGGCGACGAAAATGGGTTCTCTATGTCGGTCAACACACTCCCGTCATGTGGTCGCTCGAGTCGTTTATCTCACATGCGTCCGACACTACACATCAGAGAGATAACGATGTGAAAATGACGAGCTGGCGATGCATAGAGCGTATCGGGATGGCAGCTGTCGCATGAGCGCGTGCTTCATCGAGCTGATGAGTAACATGAGTGTCCAAGACCAGCAGCAGGTCCATGTGCTTGTATACCAACGTCCGTGACCTCCGGCTGTGTGAATGTCGCAGCCTGCAGCTTGAGTTTACAGTGACTCGTAAGGTTCACTTTGGTTGCCGTGATCTCGAGCATTCACGAGGACCTTGCCAAGTGGGGAAGAGTACAGACAGACCTGCGAAGCTCACTGAAGCCTTGACGACAGGTATTATTTACACAGCCGAGAGTCCGCGACACCGGTATAGTCAATATGGCGCACGTGTCAATCATGTCATGACGAGTAGCGTGTGAATGCTCATGGAATCCGCCACGCTAGTCAAAGTGAGATCAGTCCCACTTAGCGGGGAGCTCGCCGCAATGTGCAGCTGACATGCTTTACAATCGTAGCCGCCGCACAAACACCTAACGAAACCGTTCCACGTCACATGTCATCTAACATGACATCGAAGATCGAGCGCCTCGATCTCTGGCGCTGATGAATGCATGTTTGCTTTGCAGACCTTTTCTTTAGCCTCTGCTTGTCTCGATCGTGACACTCTTCTATAGTGAGCACATGTGCAACGGCAGCCACGAACATGCTCACTACGTAGTGTGCAGCATACTCGTAGCAGCTCACAGGACATTGTATCAAGGTAACACGACCTAGGACTCTTGTCTATACGACTGCAAGCAGCGCGTTTCAATCAAACTTGAGCCACTCGACCCGAGACTGCGTTTACCTGCGATCACAGCTGCACGATCGTCGCCGATGATGCGACGTTCACAACCAAAGCAGAAGACGGTTTCGTTTGTTCGTCTCGACCCTACAGACAAACGTCGATCAACCGAATGTCAGCGATAGTTATGCAATCTCTTGTCCATCGTTGCTGTCGCCTTGCGGCCGGATGATGGCAAAAGAATGCGTACGGCCAGGGATGCGCCACAGCATCTGGAGCGAGAATGCTCTCCACTCATTGCAGATGCGCTGACATGGGAATCGGCTCATTATCTCAGCGCATATGTCATGCTACTAGCCGGTTTGCTTTGTTCCGCGTAAACACATGTCGTTGTGTGGCGCTTCAATGGATTTTTGTGGATACTGAATGCACGCCAAAGGCTATGGACAGACGTCATGACGATCCCTTTCGTCAACGGGACTCTTTTCTTGCCCATACGTAGGCGTGTCGCAAGCATTGAGCGACCGATTGTCACGAAAGGACAGGGTTGAAGTCATCGCATGATTTGATGCATGTGGAAGGTCCCTCAGCGACAAGACGCTATTGCAGCTACAATCGCCAGGTCACACTTCGATCTGCCATCCGCAATTGAGTTTTATGTTCATGTTTCATAGCAAGCAAACTTCTGACCAAGATGCGGTGTATCTCAGCTTGGAATGAGCTGATGGAGAAGCAACTTGGCGCCCACACAGCAGCGTAAAGCATCTGGTTGTACGTCTCATCTTTCCTGAGGCTCGAATGTAGATACAAGCGAGCAACGCCTACACGTACAGCAAAGTCCGATGTTGTTGTAATTTTTCACGGATTCGCTTGACAAGTGCGGTTGTCTAGGTCACATTGTAGCCACAAGTATCGCCGTAGATTACATGCACTCTTCTGCATACGTCGCTCTGCTCGACACTGTGGTAACGAAACGTCACCCCTTGTCAGTAGCTCACATCGCTGAGGTACACTTGATAAAAGTATCCATGACCATGTAGCCATAAGCAAGGCTTGCAGGTGGTCGTGCATGTAAACGCTGTAGAGTAATGCCTCTTTTGTCACGACGACTGTTAGCTAGGCTAAATGGCTTCGATGGATACCGCCACCATGGGGCAACACGGAGACAGTTTGCTGCAATCAAGCGACAAGAAAATGGACTGGCTGCAGTTCTGTCTCGACCTCAGCCACATTCACATAGTACGGATTGGTTTGCTGTAGCTGCAAGATGTATGTACGAGTGACAAATGCATCTTTTTGCGCCACCATCACTCGCTTCGCCCTGGTCCTTGCGCTCGCATGTGCCTGGTATCGTAACGGCAATATCGCCGAACAGCAATACGGCCATACTTTTAGCAGCAATACCGACAAGCTGAAGCGACACAATGGTCTGTTTGACGCAATAGTAGTCATCTGCGTGCAAAAATCTCTAGCAAGCGTCAAATCAACCGCCTGCAATGCTTCCGGTAACGATCGCACAAAACGAGATACGTCGCAGACGGTATCATTGGCATGTCTCCTCTTCAGATGCTGCATGGCGCCATCTACAGTTCAATGAGAGACGCTACAGACGATATCACACATCAGTCGAAACGTGTCGGTCATATGCGTCAATCTTGTTGCAAGTTGCTTTCATCGCCGACATGCAAACATGAATATGGTATACAGCACGATTTGAAATGTGATGTCCATCAGTGCCGGAAGAGTGTCCAAGCGCTCAGCATATTTGTAAGCATCAAGCCGCCAGCGACTGAAACTGATACACACTGAGCTGCATCGGCCTCTGCAGTTGTAATTGCAAGGAATGTGTTCCTTACATTTGCATAACGGCGTTTAACTGCAGAAGCTGTCCACTGTCTACGACCGTTGCATATTTCACAGGCTTACCTGCATTTCACACCATGTAAGTGGCTAGCGTTTGCGTTTCGATGTTGCTGCTGCCCCGTTATTGACGTTCTTTCCTCCGTATTCTTTATAGCGACCTTGCAACCGGCGAGGCCACATTTTCTGCAGCGATTACGGTCCTTTGCTACCCAGTAGCTGCTCCCAGTACATCGAAAGAAGGTATTGTCGAACTCAAGCTCACGGTCGCGTCCGATCAATCGGTATCTGACGAGCCATCAATCTATGACCGATGTCATCGTACTGATCCGACTAATCTGCGCCACCACATTCGAAGACAGAAACGAATGTGATGGCTTTTGCTTCGTTGCGGGAACTCAATCTCATGCTTTCGCGGCACAACACATGACCTTTTTTCCATACACTTGTAGATCAGCTTGGTGACTGACGCCTACTAACTTGAGAGTGCGTAGAGATCATACATGCCGTCGCATAAGTCCAGGAATATTGAGCTGCTTCATTATTGTCTCTTCGACCGATGAAGAGTTTCTTCATTAGACATTTTCAGCGTACGACAGCAATGCGCGTTTCCTTCTTTTCTCGTTAGAGTTGCACCCGCCTCATTCAGTGTGCTACTTGCTGTCGTACACTCGACCCTCTTATCCCGTAGCGCTCTCTGTTTCACGTAGCTATGGGAGCTGGCGTGCTAGAAGACAAGGGTGTAGAAATGGTCACACAAGACCATTTACTTCTCGTGCTTTGTGGTTATTGATGCAGCACGTCTGATACATATCGCTGATTTCCGTTTGCACGAAGATCCCCAATTTGTTCCGATGTTCTGTGAAGGTAGCGGCTGCACTCAAAGTAGACGTCAGACAGCACCAAATGACACGAAAGCAGATTACATGACGCTAACAAAGCCGTCAGTGCTAACGAAAAAAGTGACCTAAGATTACATTGAGTCCAACTACGCATGAAAAACGGTACTTCTACATTCAGCGACTTCAAAGCTGTTGCTGCGACAGCGAGTCGATAATCGATCCATCCAGAGTTTCCCCGTTACATATAATATCAACCAAATGCATGCACGCATTCAGGGACCTGCGCCTTTGGGCTGTCTGGAACCCTCACGTAGTAATGTACACGCTCACTCTCCTGCCAGTTATGGTCGCTATAGTGCCTGGTCGCCATCCGCTACAACATGTGCAAGTTGGTACTTGACACACGCATCAGATGACCCATGCGTGGATGAGTAGAGGTGGAACCGTCTCGACCCTACGCAGCTACAATCAGAACTGCGTCGGTGTCATTTCAGTGTCACACAACGCATAGTCGACCACGGCATCACACTCATATACGTCGACGGATTTCCATCCTACCGCGTCGTCGTACTGGAGCAATCGGTCGAGGGTATCGGACGACGGCGGCTGCAAACTTGAGCTTGCCGAGGCGTTTTCGCTCGCTACCAACAGCATCGGATGGGCGACGTTGTTTCCCACTTTGGCGACTTCCGGTACACTGTAGCACGGCAACCACTGCTGCAACTCTGACTGCTGGTGACCACCCAAAGTAGTGTCACCAGTCAACTGGCTCGATAGTTTGACTGAAGCTGCGTCCAGCGGCATCGAAGCAACGTGATGCAACTGAGGATAGATCGGTGCTACCGCGCGCACAGGGTCTGACGCGGAGCGTACTCTATCTCCGATCCCACTACTGAGTATTGCTTCGTTGCCAAACGTCGGTATTGTGATGTGCGGCGGTGTATCTCCTGGCGCCATCGACATTTTCTCCAAATGATCTGACAACAGCAAGCCATTCGACCATTCGTCGCCCATTATGGATAAAGCGTTCAAGCCCAGATCGATCTCGGATTCATTTGTGACCAGCTGCTGAGAGGCTTGTATCGGTAATGTCACATTCCCTGCAATCTTGAAACAGTCCTCTCCCACAGACATCATCTCAGTGTCGTCAAGCTCGTCAAAGTCTGATCTGGGTTGGTATGAGTGAGCTGCAGGTAAACCTCCTGTGAAGTGGGACATCGGCGGATCCACGGTATCACAACTTGCCAGAACGGACAAAATGTCGCTATCGATTGCCTGCTCGTCACTCGACGGCGTCGTCGTGTAGTTCCCAGAAGCTGACACCGCATCTCCTGGCCAATCGAAAGATGCATCCTCAGTGGAAGAGACGACATTGCCAAAGGGCAAAACCGCTTCGTGATTAGTTGCCCTGCCATTGCTTCCATCAAACATTGAGATGCTAAGCTCATCGAGCTGGCAGAATGGGTTCATGTCGGCTAACGACTCCGATTTCGAGCGAAGCTTCGCGCGTCTGGCAGTAGCTTCTGTCTTCATAGCGTGTGAAGTAGTGGCGACTCGACGTGGTTTACGTGGAAGTTTAGGGTACGCTTTGCTCATGAGCTTACCGTTTGAGGTACAGACCCTCGCATTGCCCTTTTCGCTAACAACCGAGACAGGCTCTGAATTTGACCGTGAGCGCGTGCTGCGGCGGGACGCTTTCGCTGCTGGGGGTGCGTCGCTTGACGGAGCCATGGGACAATGCAGGCCACGGTTGTTGCGTTGGTCACACAGTAAAAGTTTCGGTCGATTAGCCATCGCCATGAGTGGTGTTGCCGGTCGAATCGTCACGTTTCGGTGCAAAGGAAGCACCAGCGTCCCAATCTATCGACCGCATGTTGCATCAGTCTCCCCCATTTACCCATCAAAATGTCTCCACATCCATAATCATCATGCGCTCAACATGTACCAACCTTGCTCTCTTTCTCTCGTCGATCCACTTGCTCTGGATGTTTGAGCTTCTGGTGATGGATCAACGATCCCTCCGATCCATACGCCTGTCAAGAGAGATAGAGACGGCGAGGGAGAGCGAACAAACCATCCAGTGCAATGCAAGTTAGCAAGACCCTTGTCACAGCACGAACACAATCCCTGTCCTGTATATCCATTGCCAACAAAATGACGAAGCGCTCAACAACGTATCTACATAAGCAACCTTCTGGCACGCTGCAAACGGGCATTTGTACTTGCGATCGATTTCCGCCGCCAATCTTCGACGTCTTTTTTTGCTCACACTCGACACGTCCTCTGCACCCGGTGGTTTCCTATTGCTACGACCGAGATCCCTGGTCTCAATCTTGAGCTATCATAGTTCAGCATCATCCCGACAAGTACCACCACCACCACCACCACAACACATCCATACACACACGCGATGCAGTAAATTAGCCCCCTGCTCTGTAAAGTAGCACCCTACTTCCAACAAAGTATCGATTCCAGCTCCGCGTCGGTCTCCCTCGCTCTCGATCAACTCACGTGCTTCTCTTCCTTAAACCGCGCGGCTTTGTCTGCCCCCAGCGGGTGCGACTGCAGAGCACTCGGCGGCGGCTGATGTTTCGTCGAGCTCTGGGGCTTCGACTGGACACAAAGTTCCGCCTGCATGGCCGATGCACCACAGGCCCAACGCGGTTCGACCGCCTCGTTGGTGACAAGGAGCGAGTAGGCGCGAGGAGTCGAGATGCCGAGTGCCCAGCAGATCTGCTGCCTGCCGTCTGCGGCTATTCTCGTGGTGCCATACAAAGCGCAAGTGGTTTGCAACGCCGTTTCAAGTGTCGATTGTCGTCGCGGTTTCGTCTAAGTTGACGCGCTTACCGAAAGTCACATAAACGTTACAGGGTGGGACTATCGCATAAGTTGCCATCCAGCTTCAACGTGATCGGTTTGGGCCATCCGTGCCGACAGGGGATAGCTGGAGGTGCGACATGTCGGACAAGAAGCGTCTGCTGCGACGATGGAACGGACGGGCGTAGTTTTGCTTTGTCGCGTCAGAAAGAGCGAAGACACAAACGACTTTGCGACTGGTGTCAATTTGCTCGAGTGAACTGCAATTGGAGTCGGCACGTACGAGTATCGCATCGATGAGACGGTATTTGTCCTCAAGCCAAGAAGTGTCGGTGGCTTGCGACTGTTGGACGGAAGAATCGCCGTATCTTTCATACGACACGATCAGCAGATGGTGATGGTCACGACCAAGCGGCGATTGGGTGTACGCACGAGGTGAGGTGCGTGGTGGATACCGCTTGGCTTCGATATCTTAGAAGACATCACTTGGAATGCACTTGATTCGTACGACTTTGGTGTGGGGCATCCTCGAGCGTATCCTTCTGTGCTTTGTTGTATGGTTAGTACACTGTGTGTGTGGGTCTGCATATCAGTCTGTCTGTCTGTCTGTCTGTCTGTCTGTCTGTCTGTCTGTCTGTCTGTCTGTCTGTCTGTCTGTCTGTCTGTCTGTCTGTCTGTCTGTCTGTCTGTCTGTCTGTCTGTCTGTCTGTCTGTCTGTCTGTCTGTCTGTCTGTCTGTCTATCTGTCGAGTTCGAAAGATACAAAAAGGAGCGATCAGTCTGTCGAGCACATGTCGGTACCAAAGAAGTGACGCATATGATTCCGAGGGATCAACTGTGGTCCTAGATACGTTCTACTGCACCGCTCTACCGTTCACTGTGATGATGGGTGGCACCTGGTGATCTTTGTTCCTCTCGTAGCAGACTCGACGCCGCGACAAAAACGTGCACCATTTGCATTAGTATAGCGTCTTTCTGCAATCTACAATGTCGCGGTCGTCATGTTTACACAGTGGAGGTCTAGTTGGCTGCACGAGGTCAGATGGCATGCCATAAGCGCCCACTCCCAAACCTTCAGCCGACTGCCAAGATTCGCAAAGTGGATCCTAGCTATCTCGACATTGCGTACTGAAGTTTCTTCACTGAAGGTGCAACGAGAATGCCTCGGGCTCCGCACAGGATGACGTCCGTGCGCAAGTCCAGTGCGAGTTTCGGATGGATGTGCTGCAGCGCAGATTCCGTGCAAATGCGCTGGCCTTACTCCGGACTACAGGGCCGCGTTGCAAGCTCGGATATAGCAAGGAGAGAAGTATCCCCACCTGATGAGCGTTGGCTACAACGAAAACAACCGCACAAATTTAGCGGATTGATTGCAGGAGTATACGAAGCAAACAGGAGAACGTTGTGCAGCCAATTGGTAAAGCGGCATCGCTTTCTAGCACTTTTCGATGGAATGCGTGGACTTCGTGGGATGTCAAGATCCCGGGTCACGTCGACAAACCAGCACAATGCATTGATTCATTCGCAGTTTTTAAATTTTTCTCTTGACATAGACCGTATCAACGTGCTACATGTTCTATCCGAGGTGTTCATGGTTGAGCAGCTTCACGCACAACATACCGACGCTGAGACCGAGCTTGGTAAATTGTCCTATTATCACTTCGATGCGCTTTCGTCCATAAGTTCACGCGCCTCATTGTCTCAATTCATCAACAAGAAGAAGTCGCCCATTGTAGTAAACACAGCAGCCGTATTGTCGCTGTTCCAAGTTCGGGTGTCATTCTCTCGATAGGCATGTACACTGCTTCCCGCCGACGGACCTTGCAATTTATGGTCGTAAGACGCAGAAGTGTAATGGAACGGGGTTTCACAACGTGTGTGGTATACACAAGAGACGGAGTCCGATTAAAAATGATATTCGACCACCATATCAGTTGTTGGGGGCTGACGTGTGTCAGCCACCGAATTAAGAGATCTTTTAGGAGGTATTAATAAGAACATTAGTGACTAGATTAAGGACGTTCGGCTTAGGTGTTCGTTTGATAAAAGAGGGAATTAAGTTCATTTCCCCTTTTAAAGGTAAGGCAGCTACTCTTAGAGCACTCTGTGCTGTGATTCTCTGAATCGTTTGGTCCTATGGAATAGGGACGGTATCGGAGCTACACATCTCCTTAAGTCAGAGGAAGACTTAACGACAAACGAGCAACTTTGGTTGAATGAACCCGAATTAGAGAGGTGACAAGCTCAGAGAGCTTACGGTCCCTGTTCCAGGGGACCAAACGATTCAAAAGAATCACAGCACATAGTGCTCAAGAGTAGCTACCTTCACAGGCGTTGCGAACTGTTACCGATCAAAGACGCCTCGTGAGGCATGTGTCTTAAGTGATCAAAATGGGAACTGAACTTTATTTCTTTTTTTCGATCTAAAAGAACACCTCAGAACAACGTACTTAATCTATTCACTACCATTCTAATTAATACCTCCTAAAAGATCTAGTAATTCGGTGGCTGACACGTCAGACCCCGAGAATTGATATGGTGGTCGAGTATCATTTATAATGAGACTCCGTCCTTTGTGTACCACACATGTTATGTAACCCGTTACACACACCTGTTCTGTAACCCCGTTACACACTACCCCTCGAGACTGACGTTACCACAAAACGTCCATCGAATACTTTTCTCGAAGAGGTTGGTGTGTGTACGCTTTAACCTCACGGTTTGTCAAAACACGAAACACCATGGCATCGCCACCTAACGAGTCTCGGACCCTTTCCTCCTACCTCGTTTTTGATGAGTATGTGGACAATGGTAGCGATACAATGTGTATGAAGATGAAGGGACAATGTCCAACCCCCTTGTGCCTGAGGTTCGACCTCTCACAGCACCAAATACGTTCGTTGAACGTGGTGAAACCACCGCGCCAATAGAACGGCATCATGCAACAGATGCCGGTGAACACATCATCACCAACCCGCTCGACGAGCAACAAGAGTTGATTCTCCAGCGTGAGGAGAGTGCTCGTCGTTGCGCTCAGACCAAGAGGGTCATTCAAAACCGGAGAGGTCATGTGTTCTCAACACCTGACGCGGGGGAACGACTCCGTCAAACGGAAGGCCGTAGCCTTTCAACATGAGCCATTGCCACAGAGGCTACGCCACCAGAAGACGTCGCCTTCCTCCAGGTTCGGAATTAAAGATATCTCGAACCATTCTTGACCACACAAGGTCAGTACAAGGCGCGCCTTGAGAGCCTAGCTCGTGGTATTTCGGCTCGACCGATTAAGGGCGTGCCCATATTGTTCTTCGCCGGTGAGTTGCCTGAAGAGGATGACAACCGATTCATCCGCTAGTTGTACCGCAAACGACACCTCAGCAGCATGACAGCTCTGAGAGCAAGTGCCAATGTGGCTCATGTTCGTTCGGAACAAAAGATCCGGTACGAATACGCCAAGCTCAAGGCCAGAGTCCAACTGCATAATCGAACACGCTATGCTTCGGCTACGCCGGTAGCCGCGGGTTCCGAACCTATGGTACGGAGCAACCCGCTACATTTCACCACTATTGGTGAGAAGCGTTTGTGGTCGCAGAATGACCCTGGCCACGATGTTCAAAAACATCCACGGCGTATGGGCAATCCTGCCGAAGGAAAATCGAACCCTATATGTGTTTTCCGACTTAGGGTACCCTCGCCACTTCAAAAAAAAACTGGTATTGACCATGACGACGACGTCGCTTCAGGTTTATCTCCACATGGAACCAGATGTTCCCTTGCTCATCATGCAGCGTCGGTGGTGGTAGGTGTACCGAAGGAAGAGCATGAGAAGGCGCTTCTAGAGCTGAGTGGTCTCCGTGAAATATTGGGTGAGACCCAGAGTGCGCTCGATGCGATGCAAGCCCGTGTTCAGGCGTTGGAGTTGGGCCATCTCTGAATGGAGGCTAATCTTGACCTCATGATTCGGATTCTGCAGCCGATTGTAATGCCAAGTTACGCGGCGCAAGCGCCTGTAACTTCACTTGGGACGGATCCCGATACGGCATAAGTATGCCCACGTAGAACTGGATGTGTGCGCAGTTTGCGCGGAAGGTTGAGCGTATACTCAAGTCCCTTCTTAGCGATGACCGTGAATGGTCCGATGAAGCGCGGACGCAACTTTGTCTTGGAGACGGCGGATACTAAATCTGTAGGTAGGTTTTTAGCATTGAGTAGCACTTGGTCTCCGACCTCACTACGTTCAATACATCCTCTTCATTTGTCATTATCTTGTTCCTTCTGTTTGTCTTGTCTATCTGCCACTATGTCACGCACATGTCGTAAGAAATTTAATCGCGTTGCGAGAAACTCGCTTACCTGTTTGTGAACAGTAGCAGGGCCGATATCATCAAGCCGATATTCAACTCTTCCCCCACCAATCCAAGGACAACGGAGTGGTAGCTTTAATGGAACGAGAGGGTGTGTGCGACCATTCAAGTGCAACGAAGTAAAGACCGCAGAGGCGTGAGCGGCGTTGTTAAACGCAAACTTAACGACCGAGAGTATCGAACTTCAACGTTTTGACGTTTCAGCGCAAATACTGGGCAACATGTCACCGATAACGCGATTCATTCGCTCGGTTTGACCATCGGTTTGCGTATGATTCGCTGTGGAAAAGTCCAATCGTGTGCCGCGCACTTTGAAAATGGACTTCCAAACTTTCCAGTAAATCGAGGTGTTTGACCAGATACAATTGCCACAGGCGAACCGTGTTGTCGAAACATCCGACCGATAAAAAGCGTAGCTGTACCTTCACCATCGATAGATTCCGGCACCGCCGCTAAATGA